AAGTTCCTTAGTTAGCTACATTATGCTCATTTAAGCATTCAAAATTTTATTCTACCCGTCCTATAGGACTAGTTAAATAATCTTTTTCTTTCGGGAATTGTTTTGATTTTTAGTTTTTTCATTGCATTTACTCGAATATAGTGTGTCTTTGTGTAGACATGTCCCGTTGTGCTTGATCTTGAAGAAGCACGGTCTAGTCACTAATCTCTCTTATCTTGATTGTCCTCTATGTAGATCAAGCTTTCTTGAATTTATCTTCGAGGTTAGTTTGAAATGAGGTCTTTGACCGCTTGCCATGACTTGATTTGTTGCATGCTTTGGTTTATCGGTTGTTTTAAAAGTCTGATTGTAGTTTATGCCTCGTAGAACTTCTACAGTTATTTTGTAGGAGGTGCGGCACTAACTAAGCTCATTTGCGTGTGCGAGTTTCTTTTCATTTATGTGCTTGAGGACGTGAGGTAGCTTTTCTATAATTCCAAGTATTCATATGAATATGGTTCCTATATGTTCATTCACTTTTGAAGTAAGGACTCGTATAGATCAACGGCGCTTATATCGCTTGTCAATTGTTTTTAAGAACTTTGCAAACCAAGCTCCTTTTTGTTGGTTGACAATGAAGTGCAAGGACTTCTAGAAGCACGTGTTAAAGTTTATATTTTCGGTTGGCATGCTTGTGGAAGGTTTATTGCTATTGACGTGTAATAAAATTTAAAAAAAATTATTTAAAAAATTTATAGAAAATTTCAAGTAAATTTGTAAACAGCCCTTTGTAATCAAGAAAGTTAAAAAGAAAGGTATTGTTTCAAGTGGAAGGCCTTCTTTAGGTCAAATCACCAATTTAATTTTATTGAAAATAGTGTTTTGTTGTATTATCCGTGTTTTTTGTATAACAAGTAGAAGGACTTAATTACTTATCAAGTTGATCGAGCAACGTAAATTTTGAGAACGTTATACCAAACTACAATCAAAATCATATTTCCACAAAACAACGCAAAAAGTCACACATTACGCAACCTTAATACTAAAGAAAACAGAACTAATGAAAACAAAGGGCCAAAGAGGAAAATAGACAAATATTTTTTCGTTTTTTTATTTAATTAATTGCAACCATATTAAAGAGTAGAGTTTAAAGAACGTCAAACAAAGAACAGAGCATTAAAACACTACTAAAATACCCATTTCACTAAATATAATCTACGAAATCTACGTTTTAATTTCAATCCGCTCTAACTATTCAAATGCTTTTAATTGTTTTCATTTAGATTAGCATTTTTTTTTATTACTAAAAAAAAGTCTTTCAAAAGATGTATTCCACGTTTAACTGATTACTCTTCATTTTATTTAACACATTGTTTTTCATTTTATTTTTTATAATTATATAAAAATTATATTTTTCCGGTATTAAAGTACGTTACAGATTTTAGGAAAAATAACATCTTACAGAAAAAAAGAAAAAGAAAAATTTGTGTGGTTCAACTGTAGTTAACCTAGTTTAAACTGGAAATATAAATAGATACATCCAAATTAGTAAAAAAAAAAATTGAGTTTTGTTGAATTAATCAAGTTTTGTCATTTCTACGGTTCTACGAAAAATAAATAAAAAAAGAGAAAAAGGGCTACTAGAATTCTGGCAACAATTCCTATTTACAAAGAGAATTGCTGAAAAAAGATAAGGTGAGGGATGGGGCAATAGGGGAGGTGGAGTGCATGTGCCTAAACGCGCGAGAGATAGAACGAAAGCATTAGAGATTCGAGAGAAAAAGAAGAGATGTATCTTAAGAAATTTGTTCGAATAAAATAAAAAAGCACGTCTCTTTTGCATTACCTTTCTTAAGAATTATATGTCATCCTTTTAAATATCAGTCGACTTGTGTAAATAAATTTGGCCAACATCATGTCTTGCGTTAATTATACATAGAGGTTATGTAAAAACAAGTTTAACTACTAATTAAGATTAAATAGACCCAAAAATAGCAAAATCAAAAAAAATGTGTCTCTGTCTTTGTTATCCACCACGCAACCTCCTTATAATTACCATTAACTGAAAGAAAATAAAAATCATAGCCGTCAATCATATCCATCCTCCATTCGTAGCCATTAGATCAAACACACATTTCATGTATTGACATGTCATCCCACGCAGTAATAATAAAGTCTCGTCTTGCCCTCGGAACATAGTTTAGTGGTGCAAAAGACATGAGCGAGGTAGTCTCAACTGAGCTGGCAGCCGCAGTATGAGGGTTCAATTCCTGCATGTTACAAGATATGAAATTGGATTCTTTGTGGGTATCAATATGATAACTCTTGTACCTGAGAGACACATCTCGCGATTTATCTCTTCCACAATGCTCTGGGTGCAGGATGGGGCTCCGCTCAGTCCTTTTTAATAAAGTCTCGCCCTTCACTCCATTAGCCTTCTCAAAGAAGTCCCACAAAAAGTAATTTTTTTCGTTAATTAAATTTTATTTATATAATAAAAAACATCGATATACGTATATATACGCACACATATATTGTATGTATTTTCCGGATCTGAGACTCGTCGGAACCCATCGGCGCTAAAACCCCCTGAATTTTCTCTATCTCAACAACCCTAAAACACCCCCTCGGAGTCATTTCTCTCTCTCTGGAAGCCTAGATCTTTCTGTGTATATAAGCAGTGACGCTTGTATTCATTTGGTTATCTATTTCTGAGAAGCGAAAGGTGGAATTTTCTCATTTCTTGAAAATCAAAGAGATTTTAGCTGGTGAGTTTGAATTTTTTGTTATTTAATACTTCTGCATGTGGAAATCATTTTTATTTTATTTTATTTTATTGTTTGCTCGTGCATGTGTTTATGGGTTAGAGTTTAGCTGTCAGTTGTTTTTCTTGGTGGAAAAAAATGATCTTGTTAACTTTTTTGCTTTATTTTGTTGCTCGCGTGTTTTTAAGAATTGTTTGTTCGTTTTTTAGAATTATAGCGTGCAAGGTTTTGAACTTGTAATTTTAGAGCCGTGCTTGTTACTTGAAAAATTAAGCCGGAACAAAAACTATGTTCATCATTTCTTGCATTTAAATGAATGGGCCTTTTGTATTTTTATTTTCTGAGGGTTTATGGATTTGATGAACTCACTGTTTTCTGGAAGTAGAGTAATCTTTTTCTTGTATTTTTTTTAAAAACTAATGGTACATTGACCTTCACCATATAACTGGCATTGGGTAATATTACAAATTTCTTGGATTCTTCTACTTTAATTTACTGTCAGCTTTTCGTTATTGCTTTCCTTTTTGAAGGAGTAATTTTGTCCTCAATAAATTTGTTATTCTGGTGAAGCAATTTTTTGAACTATACAAGCAAAGGGGATGAACTGGGGCATTTAAGTTGCACTGAGTCTGTTGCATTTTCACTCTTTTGAAATGCCCTGCCAAATTAAGTCTCCAGTTTGTAAGGTTATTTAAACAGGAGAAAGGTTTATATGCCTTGTGCCATTTGCACCCATTAGGTCAGTTTTTGTAGAGATGAACAATTGAAGAAAGACACTTCACAAGCAGGGCAGCAGGCAGAGAGAGATTAGTGATCATCTGTGGCTGAAATACGATCAGATTAAGCCAATAGTTAGCTTTTGTTTATGAAAGGCAATTCTACCTAGAGCAGCGATTTACATTGGAAGCCATTCTTAATGGAGTTGGTTAATAAATTTTCCTTTATTTCCGTGGAGATGGTTATTTCTATCTGATGGAAAGGCTAAACACGTCCTTGAAGGCTCCCAGGTGTGGCAAATTGGAGCCAATATCCTTAGGCAACTGTAGATTGCCATCGATGAAAGGATATAACATACAATACAAGTAATCTTCTGAGACTGCCAGTTGGAGAGTATTATACACAATCACTTATTTTATACTGGGCTCTGGGGTTTTGTCTACAGAGTTACTTGTTCTAATCTGCTATAAGACCAATTGCCTTTTCAAGTGTTAACAATTGTTCTATCTCTCCATTTTGATGTCTAATATGAGTAAGCAGACGTCGAATCTTTAGAAGACAGTGAATGCAAATACTTGTCAATGAATCAGAAATACTGACAGTTTAAAATTGGTTTTGTTCTGATAAAAATCTCAATATCTTTGATTACAGTTTGGGCATATGATGTGAAGGTTTGAAAAATTTCAGGATATTTGGCTTTATTTTAAGGGGAGTGCTGTATGGGATATCTTTAAGGACATTATATCTTTGGAGTGTAAAAGGATAGGATGTGTCACTAGGTTAAAAGGAAATAAAGCATTTGGCATGGTTGTAGAACACCTCTGGAATGTGATGTGTCAGTATGTACGAAATGAAGGAGATTGCCTTGTTATTAAATTGAAAGCATCGTTACAATTGTGTTGGAATTTGCGATGTCCATGTCTAGTTCTACTGTAGTTGTGTAAACATGAGTGAATTTGTTACTCTCTTTTACACAAGAGTGAAATCATTCTATCCATTTAGCTCGGTGTAGTTGACCTTGACATCTTCTACTGGTTTGACTAGTAATGCTAAACATTTTTCTCTTTTACATGGATTCCACCTGGATGGTGCACCATTGATTAAATTTTTCTGCGGATGCAAAAAAGTATGAATAAGCTTGCTTAACTTGTACACATATATGGTAAACCTAACTGAGCTAGAGGCGGAAAAGTACAAATAATTGCCTGCACTGAACTAAAGAAAAAGGGAACTTGACCCTAACTCAAAGACCTGAATTTTGTGCCTTTTTTTTTTTAAATCCCATTTCAAAGATGTTCTTGAGTTAATATCTGTAATGTTTTATTGTCCTTTACTGTTAGTTGGTGCTAGTGTCGGACAATCCATTTTGACTCATTTTATGGTTTGCACACTTTCATGTTTCTACTTCTTACTGCTGTCTTTATGTTGGTGCATTTTCTGCGATACATAGAGTGTACTAGCAATGCATGCAATTCTCATTATTGGATTTTTTATTTTTCTTCTAGCTTTTAGTATGAGATAGGTATCCTGGGCGTAATTATGGCCTCCAAAGGTCCACGGTCCAAGCTTGATCATGAAACGCGGGCTAGGCGGCAAAAGGTAAATTCATATCACACTTTTTATCAGTGTTTATATTACATACATTTTTTGTATGTGTACAAATTACATTAATCTTTAACCATGATTATACTTCCTGGGCTGAAGTAACTCTAAATTTATTTGATGTTTTCACTGGTCAGATCTACCATGTGTATTTATGCCTTTTAAATATATTGAAGGAAAGATATATTTCGTTTCTAAATCTGGATTGAGATATGGAATTATATATTCGAGAATATAGATCTTCAACTTGAGAGCAGTAAATGTAATCCTGTTGTTTGGATATCCCAAGATTCTTTAAAAGGTTTGCTTTCGAGATCTAAATATTTTTTTTCTTTTCCCTCATTTATCTTTCTATGCCATAACTTATTTTCATTATCTTAAGCAATGGTAGAGTTTAAACCGTTGCTGAGTTATAGCTTTCCACATAAAGGAGTAGAGCTAATTGTAGGATTTGGAATGATTTGCTAATTCTTGAAATGATGTCCAACCAAATTCAGTATTTGGATTTCAAACCTGAATTCAAAACCATATCCATAAAATTGTTTAAAAGAAAGCACCCTTAGACATTGTCTTTCTTAGCTCATATAGTTGCCACTTGCCAGTTTGTACATATGCTCTATGATGCTCTTACTCGGGTACGGGTACATTTCTAAGTGTCAGATTTTTTATTTTCTAAAATGTAGGATATGGGAATATGGCTAAAAAGAATTCAAATTTCGGACACGAGTACGTGAGTACGTCTTTCAAACTTCAACTTTTTTATAATTCAAGATGGAATATACCAAAATCAATTATTCACAAAGAAAGAAATGAATATTGAATAAGGGGTTAAGACGAATAAAATGAAATTTTGGGGTTTACTTTTCAATTATAGGAATTACTAAATTTTATATAAAATAGAGAATGAGAGACTTGATTGCAATTTAGATTTAGTAGATCATTAAGTAGCATTATATAGAACCCATTTTCATTTTATACAAATAAAACCTTAAACCACCGATACAGAGAGAGAAAGAAGGAAAAAATAGAAGAAAAAAGAAAGAAGAAAAGAAGGAAAAACCTAGTGTCACGGCTGTGGCGGCCCCCTCTCGGCGGCGACGCTATGTTTATAGAGAGCAGAAACGGGAAAGAAGAAAAGAAAAAGGAAAGGAAAAGGAAAAGAAAAAACGAAAAAAAAAAAGAAGAAAAAACAAAAATTACGAAGTGTCCGGTTGAAATTTGGAGGATCTGAAACTTTTGTTGGTTTTTATGATTGTTTTCGGAAGCAGAATAAGGGAGATCATAAAGGAAGAATTGCGGCTGCGAATGACAGCGTGAAGGGGAATCAATTGGCTGCAAAGCTGATACCAAGGTTTTTCAAGTATTTTCCTGACCTCTAGGAGCAAGCCCTTAACCAACATTTGTATCTTTGCGAGGACGAGAAACTTGGAGTTTGGAATCTATTCTTCGTATAATGCTTTTTCTTTATGTATTTTGTTGATACTCCAATATAAGTTTACAGAAGCAGAATTCTTTTACTCAATTCAACAGTTATTTAGTATTCAAACTTTCGGGGATTTGAATTATGTTCGACTTATTACTGGTTTAGTTTAGGTTACTGAGAGTAATTTATAAGTAGAATTGATTGAAGCTATTATTTCATAACAAATGAGCAGAAATATATTCATTCTATTATCTTTTCTGAATGCTTTGTTTTTAATTCTTGATTTAGTTCCATATAAGTGAACAGGTTGAAGCTTCTATAGTTTCCTTCTTAGAGTATTATATAGTTCCATTCCATATAGGTACTATATGCTAGCACACCCCGAAACAAGCTAGCCAAAACAAGACCAAATGCTTTAGCAATTACACAAAAGAATGCTGTTATGTGAGTGGAAAATGAAACGAAAAGGCAGTGAATCAAATGGCTTTCGGCTTACATAAAAAAAATAAAAAACTGATGCTATGGTTACTAGGAAAGAAATGGGACTAATAAATTTTTTTTTTTGAAGATGAAACAAATTTCATTAACAGCGCAATAACAAACAGTACACAAAGGAACTCTTCCTACACAATGCCCTACAAAGAAGAGTTAAGTGCGACCAAAACCGAAGCTCAACCTATTACAAAGGTCAGAACGACCAACATGACACAAACACCACAAAACGAAACAAAAAAACCCAAACGACACGACTCCAAACCACAACAAGAGGAGCGGAAACAAATCCAAAAAACCACAACTTTAGCAACCTTCCAAAAACCCGGCTAATAATTAACACTATTAAAAACATTTCATTCAATTTTAAATCAAGTTTTTATTACAGGTTCAATTTTGTATCCTATTTCCGTGCTACCAAACATGCCATGAATGTGAATTTACATTATTATCCATCAACTGTTCCACTTTTTTTTTTACACCATATATATTTTTATCAGATGTCATTACAAAAGTACTTGAAGGTGTTTCTTTTTCTCAACTTGCAGAAGGTTTAAAAGTTAGCAAATTCACTTCAAAAAGACGAGTGCGCTTTAGAAATACTTTTCGTTATCTATCTCTCATTCCAGTTTGTAGTGCAAGATGTAGCACCAAATATATTTCTTATGGGTGATTTCCCTTTTCACCATTGTGTGTTGTTGTAGTTAGTATTTTTATCAGATTTTTCTTATAATCATTCTATGCTTCTTATTGTTAAGTTAGATGGGAAACAACTCAGATTCAAAGTCAAATATCAATGATTCAAACATTGTGGATTACTCGAAGAATATTTAATTGTGTTCCTTGCCTACTCTGGTCAAAATCACAAGTTGAATGTACCATACCGAAACATGATGGCACCTTGAAAACTGTACATGAATACCCTCTGGAGATATATTTCCTTTAAATTATACCCCTATCATTTTCCTTTTCCTTTTCGCTTCAAAATATCGAAATAAAACAAAAGACAATAGCTTTATTCATATAAGTTTTTTTAGCACAATTTATTTTGCTCAGATATAATTCCAATCCAGTTCAAATACATATCCATATGTATATACGTAATCTAAATAATGAAATTAAGCCTCAACTTTATTTTAAATATATACAATCTTCTACTACAATTCACAATAATGAAATTATAACCAACCTGCTATAATTAATCCTTATCCACAAATATATATCAACGCTATTAAATACCCAATAAAAATTCAACACGTGCCTTGCACGTGCCTTAAACTAGTATTTAATATAAAAGGCCGTAATTTCATGCAGGGACTATGCTAGAACAACATAAAATTCTACATAATCTTTTACCTAAGGGCAACATGGCGGCCCCTATTGGGCTTTTGGTACATATAGATTAATTCTTTCAGGCAATGTCTTAAATCCTTTTTATTCTAGAATGTCTTATTTTCTTTTTCTTTTTAAACACACCAAATTGACCCTAACGCGTTTAACTGACGTCAATCGATCAAATTCGACCTTCATATTTATCTGTGTAGGTTTAATCTTTTTTTTTTTAAATTAATCAAATTTTGTCATTTCTATGATTCTACGAAAAATAAATAAAAAACAGAGAAAAAGATGAGTTCGGTTATGTGTACAGAAAAAAGGGCTACCAGAATTCAGGCAACAATTCCTATTTACAAAGATAACTGTTGAAAAAAAAGACAAGGCAAGGGATGGGACAATAGGGGAGATGGAATTCATATGCCTAAACACGCGAGAGATTGAACGAAAGCATTAGAGATTCGAGAGATAAATAGAGATTGAGAAAAAAATATAAAAAAACATGTTTAGATTTTTTACCATTTCACAATTTACTAAATAAAATATTAGAAAATTATCTTTTATCATTTGTTCTCATTATCTTAAGAAATTTCCTCGAATAAAATCAAGAAGCACGACTCTTTTTCATTACCTTTCTTAAGAAATTATATGTCATCTTTTTAAATTTCAGTCGACTTCTGTAAATAATCATGTCTTGCTTATTTAAAAAATCACGACCATGTTGGATAATTTAAAAATAAGTTTAACTACTAAATAGACCCAAAAATAGGAAAAATAAAAAAAGTAGTGTCTCTGTCACCTACACTTTGTTGTCCATCACGCAACCTCCTTGTAATTACCATTAACTGAAAAAAATATATAAAAAATCATAGCCGTCGATCATATCCATCCTCCATTCACAGCCATTACATCAAACACACATTTCCCCTCAGTAATAATAAACTCTCGCCCTTCAATCCATTAGCTTTTTTTTTAATAAGGTAAGTGTATTATATCCGAAGTATGAAAAATAATTACAGGAGCATACACCAGAAAACAAGGCTAGAAAATAAGCTTCCTAGCACAAATAATAAATAGTGTTGATAACCTAAACAATCCATTAGCCTTCTCAAAGAAGTCCCACAAAAAGTAAGTATTTTTTTCGTTAATTAAATTTTATTTATACATACTTCTTATTATATATACGTATATATACACACACATATATTGTATGTATTTTCCGGATCTGAGACTCGTCAGAACCCATCGGCGCTGAAACCCACCGAATTTCTCTCAACAACCCTAAAACACCCCCTCGGAGTCATTTTGCTCTCTCTCTCTCTCTCTCTGGAAGCCTAGATCTTTCTGTGCATATATACAGAGACGCTTGTATTCATTTGGTTACCTATTTCTAAGAAGCGAAAGTTGGAATTTTCTCATTTCTTGAAAATCAAAGAGATTTTAGCTGGTGAGTTTGAATTTTTTTGTTATTTAATACTTCTGCATGTGGAAATCATTTTTATTTTATTGTTTGCTCGTGCATGTGTTTGTGGGTTAGAGTTTAGCTGTCAGTTGTTTTTCTTGGTGGAAAAAAATGATCTTGTAAACTTTTTTGCTTTATTTTGTTGCTCGCGTGTTTTTAAGAATTGTTTGTTCGTTTTTTAGAGTAATAGCGCACAAGGTTTTGAATTTGTAATTTTAGAGCCGTACTTGTTACTTGGAAAATAATCCGGAACAAAAACTATGTTCATCATTTATTGCATTTAAATGAATGGGCCTTTTGTTTTTTTATTTTCTGAGGGTTTATGGATTTATGAATTCGCTGTTTTCTGGAAGTAGAGTAATCTTTTTCTTGTATTTTTTAAAAATTACTGGTACATTTACCGAGTAAATTTAATGAATGCTCACCCATCTTTAATCTATATTACTACTTGCTCACTCAACAATAAAACATTACTCGTTGCTCACTCATCTATCTAATATATTGCCCATCCATCACCCGCCTGATGGAACTTTATACAAGCAAAATCCTAAACCACCTATACAGAGAAAGAAAGTAGGAAAAAGAAAAAAGAAAAGAAAAGAAGGAAAAACCTAGTGTCGCCGCGGCGGCGACCCTAAGTTTATAGAGAGCAGAAACGGGGAAAGAAGAAAATGGAAAGAAAAGACAAAGAAAGAAGAAGAAACAAAAACGACGAAGTGTCCGGTTGAAATTTGGAGGATCCGACACATTTCCCATACCTATGTTTGTTGTGTCGTGTCCGACACGGGTACTCCAACTATTACGAAGAGTCCAAGCATCGAAGCATATGCTAAATGACTTCGTAGTTGGGATTCAATCTCACATTAGGACATTCATCATGGAAGGGATTTTAATCTTCTTTTGGATCAATACGGTAACCTTTGAAGAATATAGATTGGATCGTGGCAATAGTACTTCACATTGATGTATAAATTTGGGTGCTGGGATATGCTCGACTGATGTATTTGATATAATTTAATTGGTTATTTTATTACTCTAGGCACTAGAAACTCCCAAAGAACCTCAACGTCCTAGAGCACACTGGAATCATGTTCTGGAAGAGATGGCGTGGTTGTCAAAGGTAATTAAAATATTCCTTTTCATATGGTATTTGCATGATATGTGGTTTTTTTTTTGATTTCTATAACGATTGTGTTACTAGCAGGACTTTGAATCGGAGAGAATGGAAAGTTGCTCAAGCAAAAAAAGTTGCAATAAGAGCCAGCTAGGGCATGGTGGATCAGGCCACAAGGGGAGAGAAGAGAGTGAAGGTTTATATTTGGTTCTCGTCTCTGAAAAGATTCATACATGTAGGCTGTACAAGAACAAATAATTATTTTGACATTCTTCTGATGGTTGTGCTTGTTTTCCTAATGCTTTGATAAGGACGAGGAACAGCGGTTGAGAAAAGTGGCGGTCAATATTTCTAAGGATGTAAAGAAATTTTGGACAAAAATAGAGAAACTGGCAAGTCATCTAGGATAATTGCTTTAATAACATCCAAGTCTTTCATGATCACTACCTTCCGAGAATGAAAAATTTCCTATACATGGTTGTTGCAGGTCCTGTACAAGCATCAGCTAGAGCTTGATGAAAAGAAGAAAAAAGTACTTGATAAGCAGCTGGAGTTTCTTCTAGGGCAAACTGAAAGGTTAAATGCTGTTCTTCGGAATCTGTTTTAAGTAGTTATGGTACCTAGAGAACAATAGTAGCTGTGTATCACATGAAGTTATTGTGTTTGTCCATAACATAATTAACTTTACATTCTTTCTTTATCTCTTTTTGTAATTGACATTCTTTATTGTTGCAATTTTACTAGGTACTCAACGATGCTGGCAGAGAACCTTGTAAACTCACCAACTCCTCGGAAACCAATCAACTCATACTCTGCTCAAGAGCAATTGAGTATTCAGTGGAAAGAAGGGGGTGAAGATAGTATTAATAAGACAACTAATTCAAAGACTGGTACGGAAATGGTGAATTTGTTCCATTTGGTTTATTTTACTGTATGTGAAGATTTGGATCTTCCCTTATTTGAACTGACAATGCTAGGATCTCAATCAAAGTCTCCTGATGTTGATGAAGACTACGATGTGCATTCTGATGATGAATCAGTAAGCCTCCTTGCTTTATGCCATGGAAATTTTCTTAAAATGTTTATGTTGTGGAAAGTAAGATACGCATGTGATAATTTACAGCTGATACCTTGATTTAACTCTCTTTGCACTCACAAGTGAGTGGCTGTTAATTTTGTTCTGATAGTTTCTCTTTCTCTTTTTCATTTCTGTTTAATTTTGAAAGTCTCTACGTATTGCAAGAAATCCTGTGGATTTTACCACTCATTCCGTTAAACTTGGATAGTTCAGGGAAGGTCTAGTTTTTAATGTACCAATCCAAAATTCATACTTTTGAGTATAGGCTCATTTCTGGTAACCTGATTTGTGCTTATTGTTGCTGTAACATGAGGTACTAATTTACTAGGGTGTACATACCTTGTTTCCAAATGCATTGCCTCTCCACATACACAGTTATGTTTTATATCAATCATGTATGACTTCTTATGAGTAATATAAGATTGAGTCCTGTGTTTTTGGGCTCATTCACTGCAAGTAATGCACAATGCTAATGTTTGTGCTCTGAAGGCATCTGTTATGATATTGAAATTTCATATACTTCTTTAATATGTAAAATTTGTGCTTCCATAAATTCAAATCTAGCTTTAGGAAATGTTTGTGTAGTGAAAATATTTGTTATAATACTGAAATCTATCATTCTCTAGCATTTTAACTTTGTGCTTACAAAGTATCAAATAAAGTATCCCCGTATGTTGATGATCCTGCTTTAGGAAGACGATGAGCATACTATTGAAGAAGATGAGGCCCTTATAACTAAGGAAGAGAGAGAAGAAGAACTGGCCGCTTTACAAAATGAAATTGATCTACCTCTTGAGGAGCTACTTAAACACTATGCTGCAGAGGAAGGTAAGTCATAAGTTGCTATGTATATCTAAACCCGCATCAAATTTCAAATCACGTTGTCATTTCATATCTACGTAGGTAGCAAATTAAAAAGTTGAATTTTGACAACCTCAAATGTTCATTCTACTTCCTATAGTACTGAAGACTTGTCCATATATATTGTTTATCTTGATAGAAAAACTATTATATTATTCAAATTTTTTAACATAAATGGTTAGTGTATCCAAAGAGTTGAATCCTGGATTTATCATATTTTGCACTTCAATGTGAACTGGTTCCTTACTACCTAAGCTACATTGAACTTACGTCACTGGATAAGAACTAATGCAATCCCAATTGCACTAACTTAGTGAGTATGGGGATATACTCGTTTCTTCTTTAGTTGCCATAAATGAGTAGTCTGCACATCATTCTATTAGCTGTTTTCTGATTACTTTTGATTGGTATAAATATTTGCAGTTATCAAAGAAAATAGCCCAGAGAATATTGTACCTCGAGCAATTGAGATAAAGGAAGATGATGTTGATTTACCTGGAGCAAATGAGGCTAGACAAGAGAATAGTGATTTACCTGGAGCTACTGAGGCAATAGAAGACAAAGATCACTCACCTGGAGCAACTGAAGCAAGAGATGATAATGGTTAGCGTCCGCAGCAGTTTTTTATCAGACTTTTTCTTAACCATCAAATTTGCTCTAGCACGTATTCAATCTTGTGCAGGAAAAATGGAACATATTATATCTGTATGTAATATCGACAGAGGCAGCCCACCTGCAATACCTGGTCGTCGTTGTGTAAGTTGTATGTGTTTTAGATACCATCTCAAGTTATGTAGCATGTCCAATGCTCAATATAATATTACTTGTTTGGTTTATGCAGGTTGAAAGTAATGGCAGATTAGCTGTTTCCAATAATCATTTTAAGGAAGTGGAGACATGGAAAATCAGAAATCGATCAAAGAAATTTCACAGTTCAAAGAAAAAGCACATGTTAGATGACTTGAACGATGAACAAGTAAGATTGTGTATTTGACAAGAATTTTGAACTTTCTAAGAGTAATTTCATGAATCTTCTATGTTCATCATCTCTCTTGTTTAACTGGCTTTATTAGCTAAATAAATTCATAGCAGGCATCCTGTGTCCAATGGATATTCTTTTTCCAGTTGTATGTTATTTACCTCATTGATAATGGTCTTAAAAGATTAGTTTTAGACTTGTTTATGTACTGTTCTTGCATGCAAAAGCTAGCTGGAATAGATTTGGGTTCCTCTTGATGCTTTGGCATTGGATGCCTACAAATGATTTTAACGTTCTCTAACTTCTCTATTGTTTTGTGGTGTGTCTTAAGATTTTAATATTTTGCAGAATCTTTGGGATGATTTTTGTCTAGGCTATAGGTCAAATAATTATTGCATGTAATTTAGGCTTAACAGTTCTAGAAGAGAAAGGCGTAGTTCTTGATCTACTGTTTGCAATTTAAAAGAGGAAGTGAGGGGTAAACTTTACAATAATTGAAACTTGACATTAAGGGGAATAAATGATCTCCCCAAAATAATAAAAAAATATATAAAAACTAAAATAAGGGTATAAGCTTGTATGACTCAAAATTATTCTTTTTTGAGGTTTCATTTTGGGTGGGATTGAAATGGGACAATTGTGAACTGGTATGAAGAAATAAATTCATTTGTATTCATGTGAAACTATGCTGGGCCCTGGTTTGTTCCTTCGCCTGCGCTTTTGCATGAAACTGACCAAGTAGCTTTTAGCAAGTGCTTGATGATTGGTGCCCCATTTACACACTGCCATAGATTTTTGGTTCCTGTTGATGTAAATATGGTTTGTCAAATATGCTTTAAAACGACTATAACTTGTGTGTTAAGCATGGTAGTCGCCTGTTAGGGTTTCTTCATGCTGTGCTGTGCTCTCTGTGTGTATTTATTTTGTGCTAATTACTACGCAATTGTAGCTCCTCATGAGGTTTTGACATGTCGGCATTTGTAATTTTTGTTGCTGTATCTTGAAACTGTCATATCAGTAAATTTATTTATTTGTATTTTCTTAGTTCGTGGCTTTAACTCATACGCTAATCTGGTCTTACTTGTCAAGCAATTTTTCTCCCTGAAATTTCTAAATAACCTTTGTAATGGCAGGAATAAATTGAAATTCATTTAGTCCTTTTTACCATTTTTAGTGGGTATTTATTCTCTTTACTAGAGGCTACTTAACATAAATTTTGATAATATCTTTTTCCCTTGTAGGATGATGATGATTTTGTACTTTCCACCAGAGAAGAAAAGGATTTTGATATGGTAATAAATACTATTGGTTTTCTGGAGGGTTTTTTTTTGCAGTGCCTTGAAAATCATATTTAAAACTTCTATTCCAACCGTTGTAGCTATATATGAAGTCGCAGGGAGCTGCATGTTCCATGGGTTTATAATGTTTTCCAAAATGTGATATCTTGTTTACCTGAATGCTTAGATGGGCGAGATGGAATTTCTTTGTTTTTTTAGTTATAGAATGTAATTTGGTTTTGTAAATTGACCTGTTGACTCACCTTAACATATGCGGTAAAATTTTCAATGGGATTTTCAGGATGATGAAACAACCTTGTTAGAGGAGGAGGAACTAGCGAAGGCAGAATCTAATGACACTGTGAATGAGGTAAAATCATTCATTACTAGCTTTTCTCTTTCTTGAACTTCAAATCTACCTTCTAGTTTGAAGTTTAATTTCCTCCACAGATTCATCTGAATTTCTACTTCCAACAACATTTGCGCACAAAATAATATATCTGATTAAAGTTCAGATGATAATTGTAAGCTGCTGTTTTCCAGATTGCACTGCTGCAAAGGGAAAGTGAAATTCCGATACATGAGCTGCTTGCAAGGTATAAAAAGGTAATGTTGTAGAGCACTTCTATTTTGTCCTTTCCGGGTTCAAATCCTATTTTGATCCCATCATTGTCTGAATTCTCTTATCAGGAATGTGACACTTACGATGATATGGATGTTGACTCTGAATCTTCACATGCTTTTGCTTCTGAGGAATCCCTGGCTTCACCAGTGCAGGGGAATTCTGAATGTAAGCAGCCTGGTGATAAATCTAATGAATTTCAGCATGACATGTGCTGCCACGCAGAACACGAAATTGAATATATTGGGAAATCTGGAGATGATAAGCAGAGTGATAATATAGCTGCTGTTGCAGCTGCTGTTGCCAGGTCAGCACAACCAATGGGTAACACATTCTCAACAACGAAAGTGTGGACTAAGTTCCCTTTTCTTCTCAAGTATCCTCTCCGTGAGTATCAACATATTGGCTTGGATTGGCTAGTAACAATGTACGAGAAGAGACTTAATGGGATTCTTGCTGATGAAATGGGTTTAGGGAAAACAATCATGACAATTGCTCTGCTTGCTCATTTAGCATGTGAGAAAGGAATATGGGGCCCCCATCTGATTGTTGTCCCAACCAGTGTCATGCTCAACTGGGAAACCGAGTTTCTTAAATGGTGTCCTGCTTTTAAAATATTGACCTATTTTGGAAGTGCAAAAGAGAGAAAAATAAAGAGGCAAGGGTGGTTGAAACTGAATTCTTTTCATGTTTGCATAACAACTTACAGGCTTGTGATTCAGGATTCAAAAGTTTTCAAGAGGAAGAAGTGGAAGTACCTGATTCTGGATGAAGCTCATCTGATAAAAAATTGGAAGTCACAAAGATGGCAAACACTCCTTAACTTCAACTCAAAAAGGCGTATTCTTTTAACTGGTACACCTCTACAGAATGATCTCATGGAACTTTGGTCTCTCATGCATTTCTTGATGCCTCATATCTTCCAGTCTCACCAAGAATTTAAGGATTGGTTCAGTAATCCTATATCTGGGATGGTTGAGGGACAAGAAAAGGTAAACAAAGAAGTAGTCGACAGGTTGCATAATGTCCTCCGCCCTTTTTTACTCCGTCGATTGAAAAGGGACGTTGAGAAGCAGCTTCCTATGAAACATGAACATGTCATCTACTGTAGACTCTCAAAGAGACAGCGTAACTTGTACGAAGACTTCATTGCTAGCTCTGAGACGCAGGCCACTCTAGCGAGTGCAAATTTTTTTGGAATGATCGGTGTTATCATGCAACTTCGTAAAGTCTGCAATCATCCTGATTTATTTGAAGGCCGTCCAATTGTTAGTTCTTTTGATATGAGTGGCATTAACGTGCAACTGAGTTCTGCTGTTTGCTCAATACTCATGCGTGGTCCATTTTCAACTGTTGACCTTAGTGGTTTGGGGTTTGTCTTTACTCACTTAGATTTCTGCATGACATCTTGGGAGAGTGAAGAAATTCAAGCTATTGCTACCCCATCAAGCTTAATTGAGCATCGCGCCAATTTAATAAATTTGGGAGAACAATGGTCTGGTTTCAAGAATAAGAAAAAACCCCACATGACCAACATTTTTGAAGAGATTCAAAAGGCACTTTTTGATGAAAGATTAAGAGAAGCCAAGGAATGGGCAGGATCTGTTGCATGGTGGAATTCTTTGAGGTGCAAGAGAAAACCCATGTATTCAACCAGTCTAAGAGAGCTTGTCACGGTGAAGCATCCTGTCAATAATGTTCATCATTGGAAATGTAATCCTCTGTCTTACACGCACTCCTCTAAGCTTGCTCACATTGTGCTGTCACCAGTAGAAAGATTTGAAAAAATGGTTGATCAAGTTGAAAGTTTCATGTTCGCAATCCCTGCTGCACGTGCCCCTCCCCCTGTTTACTGGTGCAGCAATGGCGGAACAAATGTGTTTATTCACGAAACGTACAAGGCCAGATTCACTGAAGTTTTGTCTCCGCTTCTATTCCCTGTTCGCCCTGCTATTGTGAGAAGGCAAGTCTATTTTCCTGATAGGAGACTTATTCAGTTTGACTGTGGTAAGTTGCAGGAGCTTTCGGTTCTTCTTAGACGTTTGAAATATGAAGGTCATCGAGCACTTATATTTACCCAAATGACAAAGATGCTTGATACTTTGGAGGCCTTCATAAATTTGTATGGTTACACTTACATGCGTCTAGATGGTTCCACTCCTCCAGAAGAAAGGCAAACGTTAATGCAGCGGTTTAATACAAACGGTTTTTATAAAGAAAAGTAAAACACAACACGCAGTGGAGGTGTTGGCATTAACCTAGTTGGTGCAGATACAGTCATTTTCTATGATAGCGACTGGAATCCAGCCATGGATCAACAGGCACAAGATAGGTGCCATAGGATAGGGCAAACGCGTGAAGTTCACATCTATCGGTTGATCAGTGAGAGTACTATTGAAGAAAATATCTTGAAGAAAGCGAATCAAAAGCGTGCTCTTGATGATTTGGTTATACAGAGTGGAAGCTACAACACTGAGTTTTTCAAAAAACTGGATCCCATTGAATTGTTTTCAGGCCACAGAAAAACTCCTACTAAGAATATGCAGAAAGAGGAAGTTTCCCACGATGGTGGTGACATTACTCTATCTTGTGTGGATTTGGAGGCTGCATTGAAAAATGCCGAAGATGAGGCTGACTACATGGCATTGAAGAAAGTTGAACAAGAGGAGGCTGTGGACAATCAAGAGTTCACTGAGGAAGCCATTACGAAGTTGGAAGATGATGAGCTGGTTAACGAAGACGATGTGAAGCCTGGGGAACCTGCTGAAGATGGTTTCTTGAACACTCCATTTAATGAAGGTGCTGCAGCTATAAATGGAAGTGATGCTATCGAGGAAAGGACACTCACACTTGCTGGTAAAGAAGATGATATTGATATGTTGGCAGATGTCAAACAGATGGCTGCAGCTGCAGCTGCTGCAGGACAAGCAATTACGTCCCTCGAGAATCAATTGCGTCCCATTGATCGATATGCCATGCGTTTTCTCGAGTTATGGGACCCCATTATAGACAAGGCTGCTGTGGAATCAAACATTCATTTTCAGGAAACAGAATGGGAGCTGGATCGCATTGAGAAGTTAAAAGAGGATATGGAAGCAGAGATAGATGATGATGAAGAACCTTTTGTGTACGAAAGTATGTATTATCTTTCTTTAATTTCTTCTCAAGTGTATTGGCATTTAGCTCTTCTAAAAAAGTCATCTTGTTTTACTGTATTTATTGCTATCAGATGCAAGTAAATTTTTTACCTTTTGGTTATTAACTGCCATTGACATTATATATATTCTCGTTTTAATGTTTAGCATCTTTGTTGTAAAGTTTGAAACTTGGATGGTATTTGCATAATTATTATAATTGGGCTTGCCCAGCGTATGTTATATAATCTGTTTACATATCGGAAGAAATGAATATGCTTTGAGGCATTATGTTAATTGTAAGAATTTCTTGCTTCAGGATGGGATGCTGATTTTGCAACTGAGGTATACAGGCAAAAAATTGAGGCGCTGGCTCAACATCAGGTCTGTGAAACTAGCTTTATTTTTATTCTAATTAAAATGGAAGGAATGAAACCGTGCCCACACCCAATTTCATTAAACTTTGTAGCTTGGTTCCTATTGGCCCAAAAGTATAGAAGAGAATTTGTCTTCACCTCTGTATGTCTAATTAAATATTTTTGCTGATATGATTTCATTTTGATAATGTTTGATAGTTGAAGGAAGAGCTAGAATGTGAAGCCCAAGAGAATGATGCATTGGAATGTGGAAATTCTGATTCTTTGAGGTCAGTGAGCGTCATAAAAAGCTTTAATTATGTTGGTTATTGAGTTGTTCAAGGACATATCTGGTTCATCCCTTGGTTCTACTATGAAATAGCTTCTTTCTTATGTTTAATATACTGTGCCCACCTTCTAGATGGCTCTAATTAAAAGAGCGTATTGAATATTGATTTATGTAGGATTTTACCCTGATGTCTCAAAATAATCATGTAAATCCAGTTGTTTTAGACCAGCAATATATGATGGTTTAATTAAGATTGAGGCCCAACAATTTAAAGTAGTGAGAGTATAATATTAAAGCTTGCCATTTTTATCTATAGTTATCCTGTACAGTTGCTGCCATTTAGGGCTGCTGATGGAGATAAAGAAAAGACTAAAGATAGAGATAGATTTTAGTTAGATTTGAAAGTAGAGAATGATTTAAAGTATATTTTTTAAGATTAGATTAGTTATAATATTTTTATAAGATTCTAGTTTGTTAGAAGTTCGTTTGATTTTAGTTTCTTTTTAGTTTATTTTCTCTATATATGGAGGGCTTAATCATTTTAATTCACAACCCTTGAGTATATGAATAAAAATTGATTTCCTCTTGCCCTCAAGTCTTGTCTTCTTGGACACCGTTTCTTTCTCGTTCTTCAATTGTTCGTTATCAATTTGTTGCGCCTTTGTTCGTTATCAATTTGGTCTGTTATTTTTGTGACTGTTGGAAATCACTGTTGCATGGTATTAATACAGCAACATAGATAATTGCATCCTGACACTGCTACTTTGGCCTGAATAGTAGGATTATAATAGGAATAAAATGCCTGAGGCTCATGAACTTGTTTATAGAAATATTGAACTTGTTTGCCAGGGCAGCAATAGTTGCTCTTAGTGATACTAAATAGGATGCAACATACTTGATTATTTTTGTAATAAGACGGGTTGTAGAGCTCTTATTGAATGCAGATATATGTTGTTTGAATATGTAAATTATGATTTGAATAATTTTTCCTATTGCACTAGATTATAACTTCTTTTTGTAAAACAGGAATGATGTGTCTGTGGTTCCAAAACCCAAGTCAAAGAAGAAAGCTAAAAAAGCCAAGTTCAAATCTTTAAAGAAAGGAGCTCTAGCTTCTAAAACAAAAGTTGTAAAAGAAAAATCATCTGTAGAACCAATGTCCATAGATGATGAAATCATTGATGATGAGACAACCTCCTCCTCAGATGCAGTTTTCCCATGCTCGGCTGGGGAGAAGAAACGTAAACCGGCATCAGATGATGATGAACAGAAGAGTACAAGAAAGTCCAAAAAATTGAAAAAGGCTCCTGATGTATCCCCTATTATCCATTCCAAATTTCCCAGCAAGCAGCAGAATGGACCAAAAGACTTGCAGCTATATGAAAAGGGTGGTGATTTTGAATCCAAGCAAACAAGCAAGGGCAATATTGGAGGGAAACTTTCAATTTCTGTCATGCCTCAGAAATGGGTTTTCACAATAAAACCAGATAAGTTCAAAAAGAAAGGGAACATTTGGTTTAAAGATTGTTTCCCTTCACCTGACTTTTGGTCGTCACAGGAAGATGCTACATTGTGTGCTGTTGTTCATGAGTATGGCCCAAATTGGAGCTTAGCAAGTGAAATCTTGTATGGAATGACTGCTGGTGGGTCTTACAGGGGAAGATTTCGTCATCCAGTCCATTGTTGTGAGAGGTTTAGGGAACTCATTCAAAAATACGTTTTGTCTGGCACTTATGCTCCATATAATGACAAAGCCGGCAATTCTGGCTCTGGGAAGGCTCTTCTTAAAGTAACTGAGGTATGTTGGCTAGAAACAACTTTTTCCTCCTACTACTGAAGACAAAAACAAACAAAATTATAACAAAAGAAAATAAACAAGCAATGGAAATACAGTGTCTTAGACATCATGATACATATTTGCTGTAGAACATATCAAAATTATGATTTTCAACTTCTCATGGTTGACTTGCAGTCTTTGTATGACCACAGTATGTAAAGTACTGGCCATCTTATTAGACATCACCATGGATCTTAAATCTGAAGTTTTAGTACTTGATTAGTCTTCAATTCCGAAATGAGGAGCTAGAACTGTCCGTTTACTACAATTTTTGTAGCCTGTATTCTTTTGTGTGGTCCAATTGTGCTTCTACTCGTCGAAGTCCATCTCTTTTAGCACAAGCACTTTTAGGAGCATTTTCTGTAAAAATCATTTTGATGCAGTCTTTTTCCTATTGAAGATGGAGAGTAGACTATTTCATTATAGACCCAAGTCTCAGCAAACATACTAATGCTTGCATGTAGAAAAAAAATTTAATAGATGTGCTATATCTGTGCATTTACACATTAGCTACTGGTCTTTCTCCTGTCTCGGATGTTTTTACCATATATTTTTTGCATGTCTGTATTTTTTGTATTTACTAGATTATTTTTTGATTTATGTACGCATTTTTTTGTTCTTGTTAGGACAACATTGGGATGTTGCTTGGCCTTGCTTCTGAAATTCCTGATCACGAATCACTAGTTCAAAAACATTTTTTTGCCTTGCTCTCTTCTACCTGGAGGGTTTCATCCAGCCATAGCCACAAACTAAGCACATTGTTTTCCCAGAATGGATTCTATTCTTCTGGCCAATTGTTAGCTGCTACAGTTGAGCATTTATCTCGCAAATCATTGAGGAAACCATCTGAAAAGATGAGGTTGACTAATTTGCATCAGTGCGGCAAGTTAGTAGCAGCTGCTCTTAAAGGTGACTACAGTACGCAAAATGCTGATGGAGCCTCCATTGTTAACCCGGAGGAGGAACCATTGGTGGTAAATGAGCAGTTGGATATTACCCTTGAACTTCAAGGAGAAAGGGACAAGGCAATGCCCCTGCCCTCTGTCATGAGACTTTCTATAAATGGCCCTGACCCTTCCCCATCTTTTAAGGGTTATGCAGGCAAAGATCATCATTTTAAATCTTCCCATCATATAGTTGAAAACAGATTCAGGTATGACCTCTTTTTCATATGCTGGAGTAAATATCTGGCTAATTGTGCATTCTTTTAGACCCTGTTCAATGGCCCATTATTTGTCCAAAACAATGTTTTGAATAGTAATTTTTAGGAGAATGTGTGGTTAAAAGTAGCAAAAAGTTTTGGGTTTATGTGCAGAATATTTTATTGTGTGAATGTGAGGTTGAAAATGAGTATGTAAAAAAAAGAATTTTTAAATAATGGTTGTCAAACAGGGGATTAATGGCCTATCAATAAAGCTATTTGTACAAAGTTGAGTTACGAAAGTTGGGTTACAAAATGTGTTGGCAAAATTCAGACCGTTGATTTCAAATTATTTAAAAATATGTTTTTAAAATGATTGGTGTAGATAATATTTTGTCAACCAACTTTGTAACCCAATTTTGTACATGTAGCATAACTCAATGGCCTATTGTCTTTGTCAAAGAAAATTGAATTCATCCTATGGTCAAGAGACTCCTGTCAATATGCATTTATGGCATTTTTGATGAGGTGGATTGGACAACACTTAACAATAATTAGAAGAAAAATGAAGCTAAAATCTAATATGGTCTAACAAGATTTCAACTTAATTATTCAATCCTTCCCACTAAACATGCCATTCGTGATTGAAGGCTTGACATATCTTGTACCTTGTCTTCGTTTTGGATGGGAATGAATTTCAACAAAATTCCTGGAAATGAGGAATGATTATTGTTGAGAATTGATGATGTGAAGTCTATGTTTTTCTTTAATTTGTTGCGGAATTTTGGTTGGATATTATGGTTAACTTGTCAATTGCCATGTTATCTGAATATGATTCCTGACAAAATCCTTCTCTCTTTATTCTCAGGGCTGTGTCGGGAACTTGTGTTGAAAGTTCTGTAGGGTGGGGATCAGTGGCTTTTCCCACAGGTGATGCCAGATCTTCTGCTCAAATGAAATCACGGTATTTAGGGAAACACAAACACCCCGTTTCTGATTCAACTAAGCCCCCTAAATCGAAACTGAGAAAAATTGCTGTAGATGCTACTGATGTGCACCAGATAACTGCTGGTACAGTATTGGAACCAATGGCGAAGCCGCTTGCTGACTTAGATGTGACGGTTGATGGAGTGTCCTCCTACATGCCAGCAGCCGAGACACCTTCTTTTGACAATAATTGTGTGTTTGACATGGATGGTGAAGTGGTTCCAACCCTGGACAGTTTAGGGATGGTTCCATTTGACTTTGGACCTAATCTAATATCCGGACTAGATGATTGGTCGACCTTACCTGAATTTACTGATATTGGGTGACAATGGATATTAAAACATGAATCGACTTTAGGGTTTGAGGTTGGGAGCAGCCATAAATTATGGTGGCCCATCTCATTGCGGGAGGACTCCCGAGGGATGAAAGTAATTCTGACAGATGCACAGGAGTCATTACGTTACGTGCTCTCGGGGAATGGTTGCACAGGAGAGAGATTTGATTGGTAATGATCAATGGCCTATACATAGGATTTCGTGGTTTTGAAGGCGGATCCAAGCTCAGGGGGATACATAGTATCTCACATATGGCATGTTTGTTATGCTGACTAGACAGTACTAGATATATAGGATTAAAAAAGATTAACAAGTTAAAATTTTGTTCCTTATGCGGTGCAATACTGTCCGATACTATGTACACGCAAGTCGATAGAGTTTTAGCGTAGGTTTTCTTGTGACCAGTCTGTGTTGCATAATTTTTTGTGGGATGAAACAGAGGGCAGCATATTTGATTATGCTGGCACAAGAAATAGCTAGTATTCAGAAGGAAAGAAATCTCTCTCTCTCTCTCTCTCTCAGTGGAAAATTACAGTGGAGGTCCCAGACTTTTCATTTTGTTGTAGATTATACCCTAACCTTTTATTTTGGGGCCGCAGTCCCAAACTGTTATATTTAATTGTAGATGTGGTTCAAATCACCGTTTCCGGTGAAATTATAATTTTGATCCAAATGGACAAATTAAATAAGGGGCAAAATAATATATTTACAATTTTCATAATAAAACAATTGCAAAAATTAAAGAAAAAAACCAAAAGAAAAAAATAAATCGAAGTTACCGTTCATCTTCCCCATCCTACCCACTCCTAACCCTGCCCCCAAACATTTCAAACCAAATTAAATCAAAATCCCATCCCTGATCATCATCGCAACGGTTGTGCCATCGAGAAAATCAAATGAGTTCTTTCACAACAAAATCAGCACATCGTATCAACATTTAACTTTTCTTTTCTTTTTCTTTTCCGGGGGTTATAGAGTATGCTCTATTATTTCAACACAATGCATTTCTATATACTCACATCATCCTCATCTATTTGTACTGTAGCTTTCGATATGGATAAGCAAATAGCAACAGATCCTTGTGTGCTCTTATAGAAAGAAAAATGACCAGAAATTTAATTTGCATTATTTTCCCAAACAGTATCCCAAGCACCACTTGGACCAACATTGCGTCCCTCGATGTAATTTTGGGTTTCGTTCCCAGACACCATTCCAAGCCCTTTTATCATCAAGAGGATGAATTTCCTTGGGTTTCATTTTGATTCCCAAGTCTCAGTACAAATTTGGCAAGCTCTTCGTACATTAACCTCGGAGCGATCAAACTCAAAATGAAAAGACCACGGATAAATGTATGCAAAAATGCCCATCGGTTTTTGACAATAAATATATGCGATTTTGGCGATGGCCGTAGCGATGATGGCGAGATGAGATTTTGATTTAGTTTAGGTTCAAGACTTCAAGTGTTGAGGGGAGGGAGTAGGACCATAGGAGTTGGGAGGCATGGGAAGATGAACAATAACTTTGATTTTTTTTTTTCCTTCTGATTTTTTATTTAATTTATTTAATTGTTTTATTATGAAAATTGTAAATATACTATTTTGCCCCTCATTAAATTTGTTTATTTGGGTTAAAATTACAATTTCACTGTTTACGGAATCAGTAATTTGGACCACGTCTACAATGAAATATAAATGTTTGGGACTGCGGCCGCCAAAATGAAATGTGAGTATAAAAAAGTAGAATTACAACTTCCTCTTTGCATTCATACAAATTGACATTACAAGTCAGTAGAGAACCACTAATGAAAATCTCTAATCCTTGAAATTTGTGAAGTCATCTCTCGTCTGAGTACTCACATTATCGTTGGGTAGATTGACACTCCGCGCAGCAATGCCCATTGATTCCACTAGATTTTGTCAGATCATGCACAACGGTGATGGTCCAGAGTGAGGGAGAGTGTAGAGATGACCAGGGTTTGGATGGAGTGGGTGGATTAGGGGTAGATATATAAATTAATTTATAATATTATCTGTTAATATTAAAATGTGGGATTATCACCAGATTTTTGGATAACCTAATCTTACACACGTTTTTTGAATTGTAATCTTTAAATAGTTGTGGCAGTGTAATTTTTACTTTTTTTTTCATTGAAATTGGAAGGGGAACTCAAAAAAATTATAACTAAATTTAGTTAATCATTTCCAAATCAGTATGCATTTAAAAGGGTTAAATTCACCAATGGCTACCTAACTTTATACTTGGTGTCATCATGATCACCCATTTGATTTTGTTTTAGCATGGCCATCCAACTTAATGTCACATGGCCACCCCATTTGATTTATTTCACAATGACCATCTAATTTTATATGAAGTTACACCAACTCAATTTCATATAATATTTCATCATGATCACCCAACATTTTTTCACCATTTTCATTAATTTTAAAAGGGTAAGACGATAACTTTGCATTATGTATAAAAAATAAATTTAAAATAAAAAAATAAAAGTTATTTAAAAAAAAGTTACTTAAAAAATAAAATAAAATAAAAACTTATTTAAAAAATGTTTTAAAAATAGAATAAAAACTTATTTTGAAAAAAAGTTACTTAAAAAAATAAAATAAAATAAAAATTTATTTAAAAAAACGTTCTTTAAAAAAATAAAATATAATAAAAACTTATTTAAAAAAAGTTTTTAAGATAAAATAAAAATTTATTTTAAAATAAGCGTTTTTAAAATTAATTTTTTTTAAAAAAAATTATTTACAAAGTTACTATTTTTAACCCTTTTAAAAAAATTTTTTGATGGTCATTATGAAATGTTATATGAAATTAAGTGATAATGTTGAAATTTGAAATATTATATGAAATTGGGTGATCATAATAAAATAAAATCAAATTGAGTGATTATGATACCACTAATTATAAAATAAAATAAAATTGAATGAGTGAGAGGTGGCAAATGAGCCGAGCGGCTCGTCGGCTCGCCCGCTCGGCTCGTACTGTTCAC